AAGTGTAATTGGGAATATATCAGATGCAATTACAATTGGGGATAATCAGATGAAATTTGGAATGTATCAAATGTAACTGCGAATTAATTAAATATAATTATTAAGACATTATCAAATATTTTCTCTGTCGACTCTTTCTCGTCATCGTCGATCTGCATATAGCACAATTATCGCGAAATTCCATTTTTGTGTCGCCTATATTTGACAGAAAACTACCTATATGTATGTAGTAAAAGCTTTCTTCAACAACAGACTTAGTTATTTTAGCAAAAACACACAGATGTTCATTGAAAAATTCAAAGGCACAATTACATCTGATTTATTACTAATTTTATTTGATAATCCCCCATTACATATGATATATTTGCATTTACACTTTAACTATTCTCAATTACATTTGATTCATTCGCAATAATATTTTACTATTCCTAAAATTGAGTGATATATTCTCAATTACATATGGAAAAGATGTAGGTAGCTGAAAGTTAGACTCATATTTTTTTTTTTTTTTTTTTTTTTTTTTTTTTTTTTTTTTTACGGATATGCGCACTCGCAAGGAAATGTCCTATCACGCTCGAGAAGCGGCAAGTGCGCGGAAATGTCGGTGTATGTTGGTCTTGAAACGGTTCAGGTCGTAACCTGAAGGGAAAACCGTCGCAGGGAGTTTATTCCACAGCGATGTTGTTCTCCAGAGATATGAATTCTGATATAATGAGGTTCTTGGTGCCTCTAGTTTGACAGTAAATTCATGGTTACCGTCTGTTTGACGGGTTCGCCTGGTAGGTGCTATTCTCGGTGGAATCATACGTGCCAACTCTTCAGAGCATTTTCCGTGATAGTACCTGTAGAAGAGAGATAAATCGCCCACAGATCTGCGATGTTCGAGACCATCCAAGTTACGAGTAAGTGCGGGGTCATTGATCAGCTTGATAGCTCGTTTTTGCACGGTATTCAAAAGCATTAAGGTATGTTTGGGTGCTGCACTCCATATATGTGAGCAGTACTCCATAGTTGGTCGAATCTGGGCTTTGTAGAGTGTCAGCAATTGGCTTGGTGTGTACAGATGTCTTGTACGAAATAGCACCCCCAGCTTTTGGGAGGCCCTTTTAGCAATATCTGCCACGTGACTGTGCCAAGACATGTTGGTCTCTGCAGTAACCCCCAAGATTTTCAACTGACTCTGTAATGTGACAGCACTTCCAGATAGCATGATGTTTGGCTCACCGGTGCTGGTCTTTTTTGAAAACAGAGCTGCTTGGGTTTTCTGCGCGTTGAACTGTACAAGGTTTTTGTTACCCCAGTCCTCTATTATCTCCAGGTCGTTATTTATCTGCGATATTTGAGTTAGTCTAAGATGATGGAATTCACGTGCGGAAAGACCTGTGGGTGGTATGAGTGAGGAGACTACATTGCCATCGTCTGCAAAGCAATAAAGTGGATTTACTGTTTTATCTATGAGGTCATTTATGTAAATCAGGAAAAGAGTTGGCGAAAGGATTGCTCCCTGTGGCACACCAGCATTTATTTGGTAAGAGTTGGAGTTCTGGCCATCCAGTGCAACATAAATGGATCTGTCCTTTAGGTAACTTTCAAACCAAGTGCAAAGTTTCGGCGATAATCCCATTGCTTTGAGCTTGTTGAGCAGATTTTCATGCCAAACTTTGTCGAATGCTTTAGATATATCTAAGGCAATTGTTCTTGTTTCACCCCGCAACTCAATCGCTTTTTGCCATAAGTGAGTGACGAATGTAAGTAAATCTCCAGTTGACCTATATTTTCGAAATCCGTATTGCTTATCGTTGATAATTTTGTACTTTTCCAAGTACTTGGTTAGGTGATTGTTCACAACTCTTTCCATTACTTTTGATATCACCGGAAGTAGAGCAATTGGTCTATAGTTTAACGGATCTGTCTTTTTTCCTTTCTTTGGAATGGGTTGTACTGCGGCAGACTTCCATGATGATGGATATACTCCTTGCCTGTAAGACAAATTGAATAATTTTGCGAAAGTTGGGGTGAGTTCGTTGGCGCAATTTTTGAGTACTATTGCGGGAATGCCATCCGGACCCATTGCTTTGTTTGTATCCAGCTTTTTTAGGGATTTTCGTATTTCTCTGTGACAAAAGGGTACCTCTGGCATACTATGGGAAACCCTTTCAATGAACGGTGGAGTTTTTCCGTTTGGCACTGTTAGGTTGGAGTTGGAGGAAAACATTTGGGCAAGCATATTGGCTTTTTCCTCTGATGTTGTGGCTAAGTGATTATTTTTATCTGTAAGTGGTGGTATGGATGACTTGGTGAAGTTAGATCCAACAGCTTTTGCAAGAGACCAAAAAGACCTAGAACTACTTGGACAATTCAGCAACCTGTTTTTTATTCTTTGATTGTATGTTTCTTTAGCGGAGTCAATAGTAATTTTGCAACTATTTCTGGCTTCTATAAATTCTGTGTGGTTTTGAGCGGTTTGTTGTCGTTTCCAAAGGTTATATGCTCTGTGTTTTTTCTGTACAGCCGTTTGACACTGGCTGTTGAACCAAGGTTTTGCATTAGCTCTACGTTTAGTTGTATGTGGGATATATGCGTCCATTCCAGATAAGATTACTTGTGTTATTTCATTACAGCAAATAGTGGGATCAGCTGTTTTAAAGCAAACCTCTTGCCATGGAAAATCCAGGTAATACTGTTTTAGGTCATTCCATTTTGCCGATTTATAGTGCCACATTTTACGAGGAAGTGGTTGTAGGCTTGGTGGGATGAGCATTTCGCACTAATATATGTTATATATAATATGTTATCGACCAGAATGAATTACCACACCGTTATTTGTTTCCCAAGAAAAAAATCAACATTTTATTGAGGTTTTCGTTAATCATAGTTACATTATTTATAATTTGGTCATTGTCTAACGATAGGAGTAAATTTTTTTCCATAAACATTATCATAAATACTTCCAGATTGTTGTGATTCAGGTTACTTCGTAATACTTCAACTTCTTGAGCTTCGATTACAACTAATTTGCGCAACTGATAGTCGACAAATATTTGTACAGTACAAGAAAAACACGTCAAAAAATATCAAAGAAATCACCTTCCAAAAATTTCGACCTTGACTATAAAAAGGACTAAACCTCCGACTTAACAGAAACTACCCATTTAAACATATTTTTTCCCAGATTTTTCACTTCTTTTTTTAACACGTAATACTGCAAACATCAAGATATTCTTGATTTATTTTACACCATTTTGTGGCCAAAGGCCCTGCCCAAAGTATACAGAAATTGTCTTTATGTCAGAAATGGCTGAATTTTGAAGAAAATGATGAAATTTTAATTTTTTTTTATGTTTTTTTATGAGATTTTGTGCTTATATGATCAGTTGACCCTCCTTGGGAACCGAGTTGGGAACCCTCCAAACTCCATACACTAAATAATTATTCTGAGATTTGAAGCCGAAATCTATGAAAAAAGGCACTCGGAAAATTGAAAAATTGGTAAATCTACCCCAAATTGTTTAACGTAATTTTATTTCTGGAACTACAAATCCAATTAAACTGAAATTTTCAGGGATTGTAGTCCCTTGATTGGGATAAAATTCAGTGAAAGTTTCAGGTTTCTATCTATGATAGAAAAAAAGTAATGACCTTTCAAAGTTTTCCAAAATGTAAGTCATAGGGTATCTACCTTCTTACTAAAACGATGAAATTTCAAAATTTTTTTTGTTGAGATTTTGTATCTTAATGGTCAATCAGCATCCCTCAAACTCTATACACTAAATTATTCTCAGATTTGAAGCCGAAATCTATGAAAAAAGGCACTCAGAAAAATTGAAAAATTGATAAATCACCCCAAATTGCTTAACACATCTCGGGAACTATAAGTGCAAATGAGCTGAAATTTTCAGGGATTGTAGTCCCTTTATTGAAATACGGTTCATTGAAAACTTCAGCTTTCTATCTATACTAGAAAAAAAGTAATGCCCTTCCAAAATTTACGAAAATCTAAATCATAAGGTGAATGAAATTTCCAATTTTTTTTTTTGTTGAGATTTTGTATCCTAATGATCAATTAACATCCCAAACTCCATGCACTTAATTATTCTGAGATTTGAAACCGAAATCTATGAAAAAATGCACTCACAAAATTGGAAAACTGATAAATTTAGCTACCCCAAATTGATTAACGCGATTTTATTTCTGGAACTATAAGTCCAAATGAGCTGAAATTTCCAGGGATTGTAGTCCTCCACTATAATAGAAAAAAAGTTATGGGACTTCAAAGTTTTTAAAAATCCAGGGGTTGCTGTGGAAATGATAAGTCACCATTTTGTAACGTCCGCCATATTGGATCTAGAATGACTTCACTTCACAGTGTTCCGCTTATCAAATCCTTTCATTTGATACCCATATCATAGAGGTTGCTGTGGAAATAATAAGTCGCCATTTTGTGACGTCTGCCATATTGGATTTAGAATGACGTCATTCTACTTATTGTGTTCTGCTTATCAAGCCCTTTCATTTGATGCCCATATCATGGGGGTCGCTATAGAAATGATAAGTCGCCATCTTGTAACGTCCGCCATATTGGAATTAAAATGGCGGCATTTAAGTAATCGTGCATTGTTACATGAACCCAACCTGTGTGCCAAATTTCAGCCCAGCTTCAATACAAATCCACAAGCACTACACGTTTGACACTGACACTTTTGAGGAATAATGACCATTAATTCCGCTACTCGGGTTAGAATATAGATTGGGATGGATAAAGCTCCATGGGAGACAAATCTGAAAAACCCAGAAGAGAAAATTTATGAATTGGGAACAAATGATAAGGATATTGCAGCATTCAGATGACATCATGATACAGATTACAGAATCAGACCGTCCCAGTGATTTCGTCGAGGCAGGCCTGTATAAGTGTTACATTGCCCAGTTATCTACCTCACTGACTTTTTTGAAAATACTTACCATTCGTGTTCCCTTAAAACAAACAAAAAAATTCTCACCTGAACATCCCTGAACACTTCCGGATTAAGCTCCATCAAATTATTCCCGCTCAGCTTCAGCACTTTCAACTTTCCAATTTCCATAAACATCCGACTCGCCTGTTCCGTAATCCTGTTCCTCTGTATCGACAGCACTTTTAATTCACGAAGGTGTCGAAACGTGCCGCTAGGCAACGACTGGATTCGATTATCGTCCAAGTAAAGCTCCTTCAACTTGTCCAGGCCCAAGAAATTATGGTCCAGCGGTTGCGTTATGTTGTTCTGCGACAAATTAAGCACATCGAGCTTTTTCAAACCCCAGAAAAACAGTTTGCCCAATTGAGGGATGTTGCTTTTTGTTATGTGAATTTCTTCTAGTTGTTTGTAGCCTTGGAAGGCTGGCGACATTGTTAGCATGTTGTTGTTATCGTCAGGGGCTGTTATTTTTATAACTTGGGTATCTGTGCTGATGTTGTTGAGGTTTAGGGCTCCGATATAGCCGCCTTCTTTGCATAGAACTGTTTTGCGGCCTTTTAGGTCTAAGTAGCAGGAACATTTTGTCGGACATAGGGCCAAAGAGCAACTAGCCATTAGTGCTAATAATATACAAGTCTGTTGATGGAGATTCATTTTCCTGAAACAAATTAAAAAAATTACTTAGGATAAAACTTTCGCTTCAGATAAAAATTAAATTAGGAAAAAGGAATCCCATTGTGCGAGAAGTGTCAATATTTTCTTTAATCAAGAAAGAACAGTAAAGACGGATTTCACGGTATTCAAAATTTAATCCCAGAGGAATATTCTTTTGTTATATTCAGTTGGGAGTTTTGAGGGTTTAATTTTCTCATTTAAGATTTCATACCTACTACAATTTTTTTTTTCCATTAGAATCGTTCAAAGTATATTTGAATATTGTTCTCTTTACAAGAATTTTATATCAAAAATTGCTTTATTGGCCTGTGCACTGACACCACTTGCTCTCAAGATCAGTATCAAATAAAAGGGCTAGATTCAAAATGTGATTCTACATTTAATTCCACTCCACACCAAAAGACAATTATATTCAAAATTCATGAAAACCTTAAAATAATCCGTTTAATATGTGGCTGAAATTATTGTTATTTCAAAGCCAGAGTGGCTTTCGCGATGAGCTTATAGCCGGGAAATTATGGTTTGTTAAGTGGGCGCCAGCCCAGAATATTAATTACAAAAATATTAGCTTGGTAACAAGCTCGTAATAAGTGGCGATTTTACCGTGAAAGGCTTGCGCCGCCGAGGTAATCTCTTTATGCACAAAAGCCCTTTAGAACTTTGTTGATTAAAATTTAACAGAGAAAAAAAAAATTGCTGTCGGAAAGGACCGTAAACATTATTAATTGAAAATGCTATTTTTAAACTACTGAGGAAAACCACCTATTCAAAATGTTATTTCTTTAAATCTTAAATTATTAAAATGTTTACTGAATAGAAGTAAATGTTGCAACCATGTATGAGTCGTCAAGTTTAGGGTTGAACGAGGGCGCGCCACAAGGAACGGTACCGAAAGGGTAGACAGACCAGTGATGCCAGGTTTGGTGAAATTTCACCAGATCTGGTGATTGGTGAAAAAAAAAATTTGAAAAATTGCAATTTCTGGTGATTTTGAAATATCATCAATTTTGAATATTTTTAACAATGGCATATATTTTATAAACATCCCTCGTAATGTATTAAAATTTTACTTCATTAACATACAAATTTCATTTATTTGACAGAAAACCAAATACCCATAAGTGGTGTGTGAGGTCCATTGATTTTTAGATAAATTTGTATTTGTTCTTTTGATATATCTATGTATGTTTCTCTTTTTATATTTCAATTTCTGTTTATTCCAGGCTCTTGTTGCTATTGGCCGTTTTTTTTTTCAAGTTGGCAACATCTATTTTGTTTGGCCAGTGGCGTTGCTTATGGGGGGTTTCAGTCAAACCAATCGAAAATTCGAAATTTCTATTTTTCATATTTTCGAAATTTTGACTTTTCCAATTGATTCGGCGGGTTTAAATTAGTCGAAAAAAATTCTAACATCACTTTCAAAATGGCGATTTCAAAAAGCTAAATAATCTCAATTTTTGGTCTGGAAATTTTTTCAAATCTTGACAAGATTAGGAATAATGGCCAATATCTTCAAAAAAATTTAAACACATCGAAACAAATTATATATGCTTTGGAAAGAGCATTAAATTCTCTATAAATCCATGCTGAATTAGTTCTGATAACTCAAATACTTTTGGAACAATTGAGCCTCAAAGTTGGATTTTAGTTGAAATTTAGTCAAAAACTTCAAATTCGATTTTCTCAAAAACCGTAAATGCCAGCGACTTCAACTAAATACCATTTTGAAGCCCTTATCAAGGGCTACAATCTCAAAAAAAATTGATCCAAAATCTTCAACGGGTTTTGAGAAAATTGAGTTTGAAAATTTTGAAATTAAAATTCAAAAGGGTTAACCCTTTGAAAAAATCGAAATTTTTATTTTTCAGATTTTTTGAATTTTGACTTTTCCAATCGATAGAGCGGATCTAAATTAGTTGAAAAAAACACTAACATCATTTCCAAATCTCGATTTCAAAAGGGAAAAAAAAATCAAAAAGAAAATCTCAATTTTCAGATCTAAACTTTTTTTAAATCCTGACAAGGTTAGGAGCAATTGCCAATACTTCCATTAAATTTTGAGCATATATATGGTTGGAAAGAGAATTAAATTTTCTATAAATCAGTGCTAGATTCAGTTTGATAACGCAAAAACTTTAAGAGCAATTGAGCCTCAAAGTTGGATTTTAGTTAAAATTTAGTCAAAAACTTCAAACTCGATTTTCTCAAAAACCGTAAATACCAACGATTTTAACTGAGTACCATTTTGAAGCCCTTATTAGCAGCTACAATTTGAGAAAAAACTGATCCAAAATCTTTGACTGGTTTTGAGAAAATTGAGTTTGAAAATTTTGAAATTAAAATCCAAAGGGGTTTAACACTTTGAAAAAATCGAAATTTTTATTTTTCAGATTTTTTGAATTTTGACTTCTCCAATCGATAGAGCGGATCTAAATTAGTCGAAAAAAACTCTAACATAATTTCCAAATCTCGATTTCAAAAGGAAAAAAAAAAAATGAAAAAGAAAATCTCAATTTTCAGATCTAATTTTTTTTTTAAATTTTGATAAGGTTAGGAGTAATTGCCAGTACTTCCATTAAATTTCGAGCAAATCAAAATCAATTATATATGGTTAGAAAGAGCATTAAATTTTCTATAAATCAGTGCTAGATTCAGTTTGATAACGCAAAAACTTTTAGAGCAATTGAGCCTCAAATTTGGATTTTAGTTGAAATTTAGTCAAAAACTTCAAACTCGTTTTTCTCAAAAACCGTAAATGCCAACGATTTCAACTGAGTACCATTTTGAAGCCCTTATTAGGAGCTACAATTTTAAAAAAAAATGATCCAAAATCTCTGACGGGTTCCGAAAAAATTGAATTTGAAAATTTTGAAATAAAAATTACAAATCCCTTTGAAAAAAATTCAAAAACTCAAAATTCCCATTTTTCAGACTTTCGTAATTTTAACTTTTCCAATCGATAGAGCGGGTCTACATTAGTCGAAAAAAAATTTAACATAATTTCAAAATGACAATTTTAAAGGAAGATTTTTTGGATCTAAATTTAAAAAAAAAAATCTTGACATGTTCATGAACAATTGCCCATATCTTTATTGAAATTTGAGCAAACTAAAACATATCGTATATCATTGGAAAGAGCATTACATTTTCTATAATTCTGTGCTAAATTGGATTTGGTAGCTCAAATACTTTTTGATCAATTGAGTCTCAAAGTTGAATTTTACTACAATCACTGATCAATAAATCCCATGTAGGTATTCCCAAGAATTACAACTAGTTACTTATGATTGTTAAATATTTTACCAGGTGATTTCCATTTTTTTGGGGATTCCTATATCATTCTCAATTGATTACCTGATGTCCTCTAAGCAATCATTTGATTCTCAAAACAATATCTTATTGTTAAGCTTCTTAAGATATTGTGCAAAATGTGGCAACGATGAGCCACATTTCCTCCTTTACCATAGGGCATTATCGAATTTCGCATCCGACATTTTGTCTATGGGCCACAATGCCATCTAATAGTCAAACTGTCAAACCCAAATATTATAATCTTTTCCGGCAGTTAACAAAAATTCATCTAATTGGAGTTTCCTCCCCTACTCAATTCAGAAAATTAAAAAAGTCCCGAAAAATTGAGACTGAAAAACCATGTACACACGATGAAGGTGACCACACATAAAAACCCTCGCCCCTACGAACTCGTTATTTGAAAAGACCCCGCCCGCCGGCCCTCTGGGCTCGTAACTTAAGTAGACCCCGGCCCTTCGGGCTCGTAAATTAAAAAGACCCCGACCCTATGGGCCTGCGAAGTGTTGCTGTCAAACTTACGATTTTTTTTTATTAGAATTACGTCTTTTGAAGCAAGGACGCTGACTTTTGAAAGTCTTCATGGGTGCAGGATAATAACTTTATAAATTTGTTTATAGGGGGAGGCTCGCCGCAGGCGCCGCCGGAGGGGATTTTTTTTCTTCCGGATGCCACGCCCAAAAACGTCTATTTTATGGTATTTCCGATTGCTAAATCCGGGCAGCACTCAGGCGCGGTCCCAGGGGGGCCCCCCCTCAACCATCCTCGGCTATAATTTTATGATATAACGAAATAAACAAAACTTCAGAATGTCCATTCACATTTACAAAAACTAACTACAGATACAAATTATTTCAATTCTCCGAATAATTTCAACGACTCTCGTGTTTGTAGCCACTGCAGAACGTAGTTTTTCTACGTTCAGATTTCTGGAAACTTATCTGAGCTCTACAGTAGTACAAGACCGACTTAATGCTCTTGCTCTTTTATATACAGGATGTCCGGAAAACAGCGTAAAAACTCTTTACTACGTGATGGAGGACCCTGGTTGTCAGATTAGTTTTTCCTGTTGTATAAAGATTTCGCAATTTTTATAATGCAATTTAAAGGCTAACAACAAATTTTTCTAAACCATTATCACTTCCACATTCACTTTTTCATATTACCAAGAATAGTCCAAAATAATTTTTTTAATTATTTTTCTAGGGTTACTCGAAGAATCTCCTATTACGTAGTGTAGTGGTGAGCTTTCACGCTATTTCTTGGACACCCTGTATACCTACACCGAAATATTGATGATATAGAGCGCATTATTGACAGATTTGCTTAGCAAAAACACAAACTTGATTTTGTTTTGTAAATGTATACAAAATTTAGATAAGTTTATTAACTTTTATTTTATCTATAATATCGTTATTAGGATTTAATGTTGCTGCTGGTAATGTATTATTTACATTCACAGTAATACATAACTTTTAGCTGTATCGCAAGTACTTTTTCATTTTGTGCCCCCCACCCCCCCCTCAAGGAAATCCTGGGACCGCGCCTGGCAGCACTAGAGCAACCTATGGTTCAATTTTTGTATTCGATTTTATCCCTCCTCCGTATAAGTAGATAGGTAGTATAAATGGTATAAATTTTAAACAAACTTGTAATAATGTATTTATTTTCATT